GCAAAATTTGTAAACTGCCAGACCCTCATGGTCTGCAATTAGATATTGCTGTATGTCAAGGAAAATCTTACACAGCTTAATAATAAAGTATGTAGGAAAATGTTTAATGATGGTACCTTATTTGTGATGCAAAGAATTGGACCGGAATTGGGAGTCATTCTATGTGAGTAGGTGAACATTCACTGCAGATCTCTATGCAACAATGAAAAGTAATTGGTCTAGATATGGTCTTGATGTTCACACAGCAACATAGATAAATCTCAAAACAGTAAAAATAGAATGAGATATATGACACAGTGTCATTTACATAAATTAAAAAACGCAAAAATACATGTTCTATAAAACATTATTAAAAAGATGACCTTTCCAGTGATTTCTTATGGGAGTGGGGGATGGGAAATGAGATTCAGGAAAGGGAACTAAAAAGTAATCTATAGGTGAATAAAATAAAAGTGGGGCGCTGCGGACATCAGTGATGATAATTGAGGAGTCACATTCAAAATATTCAACTCCTTGAAAGTGAAGGAGAGGGGGGACACACAACTAAAGGAAATTAGATTAATACAGAACTTCAACCGTCTTCCACGCTGGGAATACGGAAAACAAGCTGTCAGGAGTGGGATTCGAACCCACGCCTCCAGGGGAGACTGCGACCTGAACGCAGCGCCTTGGACCGCTCGGCCATCCTGACTCAGCGGACGTAGCTGCTGCTGAAATTGTATTTCTATATCTACCTAAACACCGTTCAACCTTTTCCTTTTTTGAGATGCGGGTATCTTCTTAAAAGGCGAACCGATCACTGAGCGAGCGGCCCGGAAGCCGACTTAGGGTGGAGGCGCGGTATGGACCGAGGTCGCCGGAGCCGCAGGAGTGCCGACCTCAGGGACGTCCAAACCAGTAGAGTTTTCCTAAGAGTTTATTTGAGCCAAACTGACGACATTGCCGGGAAACAAGACCTCAGATGTTCCGAAGATCGTCAGTTTTGCTGTGTGTTTAATGCATTTGGAATCAAGGAGGGAAGGTAAGGAAGATTGCATGCAGGTGGGAGAAAGCAGAGTGCAGGACAGTTAACAAGACCATGTGTTCCTTGGAGGGTGGTTACCCCTCCCAGGGGCCTGAAAAAGACGATCGGTTCTGGCATGTCAAGGGTGTGTGAACCTAGATGTATAAGACGTGGTTGGGGGACTCAGGCCCTGACTGGGAACACAGCACCTGTTCTCCACTCCACAGAATTCTAGTTACAATGGCTGCACCCATGTTGCTGGAATCGCCTTGCTTGATTTGGCACTTCTTCCTGGGAGGTGTCAGGCTGGGCCAGTTAGTGCTGCTGGGGATCCTGGCCCCAGGCGACGCCGACCCCTCCCTCCTTCCTTTTGGCTGCAATCTCCCCGCGGCCGGTTCCCCTGGGGACACGTGTAAAGGGCCAGGGTATCTTGCTGCCTGTTCTGACTTTACCTAGCTGTACATTGATGCCTGGTGGCCTTTTCTGTATGATGTTATACTGTATTAACAGTTTAAAATCAAAGAAGGTGAGTAGTTTTCGTACCTACTAAACCCGGCACAGGGATAGCTTGATGCCAGGCCTCCACCGCAGCAACTTCTGCAAACACTCCTACCTGAAGATCAGGTGTGACCTATTCGGGGTTTTGTTCGCAGGTGTTCACAGTCAGGATCCTGGGTCAGAAATCACTGACTGGATGTCAGGCAACCTGACTGAGTTCGAGGTTCGCACACAACCAGAACTGGTCAATTTACTGCTTGGAGGAGTTTAGACAAATCGTTTTCCCTTTGTTGACCCCAGGAGTTGCTTTCTTAGGCACCTTCCAGTTTCATGTGACGAGGTCAGTTGATTAAATGCAGCACTTAATCCCTTACATTAAGTATCAAATCCCCATCCCCAGGGAACCAGTTGGATGCAAATGATCAGTCCCAGGCAGACCAGTCCCGCTGGACACTCTGGGGACAGAGTCCAGCGATCTGTGTGTAACAAGCCCTCCCTGTGATTCCGAGCTGTGCTCCAGATTGACAACCACTGGCTTAAAGTACAATAAACTTGTGACTCTTAACAGAGAGGCTGCTGTCATGTCAGCAGGAGGTGACATGTGAAAAGTCGCTAGAGGATGCCTTTCAGAATGTTCCAGTGCAGTGGTTCCACCCTGGGGAGGTTTGTAAATATACCAGCCCCCTCCCCACCCCAGACCACTTGAATTGGAGTATCTGGGCTTTCCACCTGGCAGGGTATCTCTCTACCCACAGGTGTACCCAGATTTGAGAGCATTGTTTTGAGCTCAGCTTTAGAGACAGGCTGACTATGTCTTTTAAGGATGAGCATTCGAATAAGTGTCCAGGACTCTATGGTCCAGGGCTGTGGCCCAGCATTTGTAAAACAAGGAGCAGAGATTTACAGCGGATGTCCCTGGGGCTGAGTGTGCCCGCCTACTACACGGGGGTGTCTGGAGGTGAGTCACTGCAGAGAGCCTGGGATGACTGTCACCACCGGCTGTGACGCTGGAGCCCTACCGAGCTGGGAGATAAGATGCAAACGGTCTGTAGAGAATTAAAATCTGATTAT